CCCCCCCGGCCGCCCCCTCCTTCGGCAGCAGCAGCCTCCAGAACAAGCCATGGAAGTAAAGACGCTGTCTCTGTGGGTGGAATAAATGAACGTCCCAGTTCTGGGACCCCCTGATCCGTACATCCTGTTTGTCACTTTAGGACGCTGCAAAGAGGAAATCTAAACCAGCGGTCTCCCCGGCAAGCGGGTGGGGTCGGGCCGCCAAGATGGCTGTCATTCAGTAGAGGTTTCACTTTCTAAGACTGACCCTAAGGGGATAATGTTTCCCCCACGCCCCCAATCCACAGATGTTGGTCCCTGAAATCTGTAACTTTAAAAACCACCAGTGCAAACTGTGTTCTTAGCATGTATTCCCCTTGGGGGAAGTAATGCAGAACTGGGCTGGCACCTGAGAACCGGAAAGATGAATAGACCAGCCGCTGTCTAGAAACACAAGTTCTGAGGCCTCATTGAATTACAGAAATGGAGCCTGACAAAACGGGTGACAAGTGAGTAAGACGCCAGAACCGCCTTTTTTAACGATCCTGAGGGCATTCGTGTAAAGAACACGCGGGATGACGTTGAATGCAGCGGTGTCCGTGTATCACTAGTACAATTTGCAAATCCCCTTTGTGCCCTGAATGTTTGGTGTCTTGTGCTTGCTCCGTGCTGTGGGGTAGCACTCCGGTTATGAGCCCCGTGACCTGACTCTGTGTTTCTTGTTTCTAAATGAGATTAGAAAGTCCCTTTGGGCGTGATGCCGAGATGGGCTGAGCAAAACTCCCCTTGACTTCACTTGCAGCAAAAACGCCTCCAGCTTCCTCTCTACCTGTGGATTTCTGCTCGTGACTGGAGCAGCGAGGAGAACCACAAAGTGGCTGACCCTTCGAGGTGATGTTTTCCTCAGGACATTGCGGCACTGAGGGAGCTGATCACCCAACAACTCGCCGTGAGTTCGGTGTCACAGCCGTGCCATGTCAAGTCTTCCAGCCACTGCCTTGTGACTCCCCGCTTTTCTGCTCAATGCAGGGTTTTCTGCTTCCCTCTTCATGGTGGGGCGGGAAGGAGGGGACAGTGTAATGAGGCTTGGGGAGATCCTGGCTTCCCCACCACATCAGTGTGTTGCTTTACGCTGAGTCGTGTTGGGGCTCCCTTGATAAGCAACGCTCATTCGCTCGGCCTTAGACTAGACTCTCCTCTGACACGTGGGGCTCCGAGTAACGCACGCAGCTTCTCTGAGCTGCAAGCTGAAGATGGCTGGTCTAGAACGTCTCAAGGCTTGGATCATACATATGGATCACCCGGAGATAAGGTTGAGGAGCAGAATTCAACTTGCCCTGCCGATCAGTCAGGCTTTGCAGCCTCGGTGAGGAAGGAAGTCTTGAAAGGATTGCTGCATGTCACATGACCGTCTCTTTGCGTGTCACGTGACCATCTCTGCAGCTGCCGGCAGCGTCACTTCTTTGGCATTTGTGGGGCTGGAAAAGTTTGTCCCCCGTAGTAACGACACTCCAGCCTGCCTCCCTGGGGGTGAAGGGGGCTGCCTAGAATTTGAGACCACAAATCTGGTGACTTTCTGGGAGCTTGAGGATTTGAATATACTGTGAATCAGCGCTTCCATCTAAGCGCCTTTTAACCAAACACAAAGGCTCCCAATCCTGCAGTATTGGCTTATACTCGCTACTTCCTGGGGGGCTGGCTAGAAGTTGTTTCGAGCAGTAGAAACCCGAAGTTGATGCTCTGTCTTCACCCTGCGTAGACCAGGCTGTGTTTTCAGACTGGGCGGGGGGGGAGGGGCTGCTTTCTAGTTTTTACCTAGAGTATTGGTTGAATGTAATCCAACTATGGGGGGAAAGGGTCTGTCCTTCAAAGCTTGCTGTCCTTTTTGGCCTTGCCTCCCCGAGAAAAGGCAGGCCCATAATTCACCCTTGAGAGAGTCCATCTGGGAGTAAGAGTTGGCTGAGTGCAAGCTTACATGGGGTGCTGACATGTTACCATGGTGCTGTCTCACTCCAGCTCCCGTGCCCAGTCAACGCTGGAAAAGGATGGGCGATGAGCGGTGATTTGGTGGGGTTTGTAGAGGGCTCAGCGCTCCTCTCCCAGGCCGCTTTGATTCGGGACTCGGTTGACTAGAGGCAACAGGTAAAGCCGTGGAAGGAATTCTCTCCCAGCTCGGAATCTGAATCCTCGTCGAAAGAGCAGTCACTTGCTTGGGTGGCTTCCCAGTGGCCAGGGCTTGGTGCTTTAACGCCGACCTGTTTGGTGTTCCCTACCTCAGCGGGAGCGGAGGACGCTCAGCAGCAGCTGGTGACCTCTGAGTGCCAAGCTGCAGAACGTCCCACCCGGATCTTATCCCTCCTCTAACCATCTGTTTGTAGCGACGTGTCTTTAAGTCACAGCTGCACAGAGATTCACGTCTCTTGCCTTCCTTCCAGAACCAATTGGGGCACTGGGTCGTGGAATGTATGGAAAGGTGGCTCCCTGCTCTGGGGCAGAGTCACCTCTCGGAGAGAGACTTTGTTGTCCTGTAGCACGGCAAAAATTCTGTGCTTTCAGCTCCACCCCATGGCCCGCACAGGCCCGTCTTTGCTGAGCACATGCCGTTGGGGTGCGAGTGCCACAAAACCGCTGACAGCCCCCCGGACACAGGATGTGAGCTGGCCCCCTGGCTCTGGAGAACGAGGATGTGATCCGACTCCGGGAAGTGGTCCATGTATCTACAGATGGCAGCCCTGAGCAGGAAAGCAGCCTTCTGTGGCCAGTTCCCATGACTGCAAGCCACTCTCACCCTCTGCAAGGATCAGATGTGCGAGGGGGCTCTGTATGGGGTCCACTGAGTGGGGTATGAGCAGCAGGTTTCAGATACCCTAGCACATCTTGCTTCAAGCACTTCTAAGACCCTACGCCATATTTGGCATTTTTATACATATCTGTATTTGTATATGTAACACACCCGGATCCCAAGTTAGGAATTACAGCCCCCCACGTCCCAAGGAAGTTCCATTTTAATGGGTCAGAAAGAAACGTTTTTGGAATTTATGCAAATCCTTGAGTGGTTCAAGAAGAGCCCGATACTCTAGGTTTCTACAGGGTTGTCTTCTGTGTGTCTCCTATGCTGGATTAATCAAGAGGTGTGGGATTTCAAGACCCACTGAATTGGGAGGGCGAATGTGAGAGACTGTCTCTCACTCCTATCTGCCTTGCCATAGGAAGCGATCTGTTCAGTAACCCGTACTATCATATTAACTGGTCTTACCTCTCATTCAGTCTGATTTTTGATAAGTTCGTCTGTTTGCGTATATTTGTTTCATGAACCAGCCAGGAGATGGCTTTTGCCAACTCTGATAGGCTTGTATTTATCTACTAATCAGCGATAGGGTGAGTCAACTGAAGAGCAAAGCGTGGCTTGATGGTCTGATCCCACAACTAGGAGCTTGGGACTTCCGAGTTCTTATTCTGGCACTTCCTTTTGTCCTTGGGCAAGTCACTTAACTGCTCTTTTACAGTTTCCCAGCTGTAAAATGGGGCTGACCAACCTTCGTAGAGGTGATAGAAGGCTTTGTTGCTTGATGTCTGTTACAGGCTTTGAAAAAGACTTTACTTGATATTAGAAAAATGTCACATCAATGAGAAGTATTTTTATCCATTTTGAACATCGAGGCTAAAAGTGAGGTGTGCTGGTTTGCAGGTTAGCGCGATGGGCTGCGTTCATCACGCCTCTGCTGGGGACAGACACCTGCCTTTTTCACACAATCATGAAATAAAAGCGTGAGCTAAGTGGCATCTCCAACGAGTCCAGTCAGCTTCTTGGACAATGAAATTGTGCCCTAAAAAGTTGCTGCAACGGGTCAGCATTGAATGTTTAAAATGGATCGGGGGAGGAAAGAGATTGTTTGTTTGTCAGTTACGTGCTTAAAATACTGGGACCAAAGCAACCTACAAAGGACATATTTACAAATAAATACTGGGACCAAAGCAACCTACAAAGGACATATTTTATATTTGAAGAGTAGGGATCTAAACTGTGCAAGCATTCAGGAGGGCTGACACCCAGGAAATGCAAACTACAGTTGGAGGTGAAGGGCGGGATAGTGCATCTCTCTTTAAATCAAAAGGTCTCTCTTATCCAGCCACACTACTAGGATCTGAAATTTTCTCTTGCCCTGGGATTATAGGAAGCTCTTTTCTGCATCAGAGGAAGAGTCAAAGCCAATCAGGGTTGCAGAAGATCCTCTTAATCCTGAGCATCCAAGGAGAAGCTGATCAACGGAGCTTCATATCCTCTTATTGTCTTGGAGGGTTTCTATATTTTGCCCGTTAGCTTAATTGTATGTCATGATTAGGCTGGTGGTTTGGTTTTGGGGGAGAGGGAGGGGATAGATTTCTGTAGTGTTGTTTGGTTTTTAAGTTATTTGATTCAATAAAAATCAAATGATGCAGTATGGCAGAATTTTTTTTCCTTCAATTGACACTTTTTCTATTTAAAAAAAAAAATCCGTGTCGGGCAGGGACCGCAGAACCAAGGTTCAGAAAAGCGCAACAACCATGATTAGAGGTTTGGAACAGATCCCATATGAAGAGAGATTAAAAAGATTGGGACTCTTCAACTTAGAAAAGAGGAGACAAAGGGGGGATAGGATAGAGGTCTATAGAATCATGGCAGGAATGGAGAAAGTGAATAAGGAAAAGTATTTTACTTGTTCCTATAACACGAGTACTAGGGGTCACCAAATGATATTAGGTAGCAGGTTTAAAAGGAAGTTTTTCTTTGTGGCGCACACACTTAACCTGTGGAACTCCTTGCCAAAGGATATTGTGAAGACCAGGACTTGAACAGGGTTCAAAAAAGTTAGATCAATCAAATTCATGGAGGTTAGGTCTATCAATACTTATTAGCCAGGGGGTAGGAATGGTGGCCCTAGCCTTTGTTTGTCAGAGGCTGGAAATGGACGACAGGAGAGGGATCGCTTGATTCCTTGTTCTGTCCATTCCCTCTGGAGCATCTGGCTTTGGCCATTGTCAGCAGACAGGACACTGGGCTAGATGGGCCTTTGGTCTGACCCAGTGTGGCCGTTCTTATGAGTTCAGAATGGACCTCTAGCCCCATTGTGCAGCAGAGGAATCGATAGTGGATATGGGCAAGACATGGTGCTGGAGTTTATTCTCTATCCATTTAAAAAAATACAGCACCTCTAAATGGGAGAGGGGAGTTCTTGGTGGGCAAAGCTTGCACTGATCCATGTGGCTTCACCCTCAGCTATAGCAGCATCCTTTTAGGGCCAAGGGGGGCAGTTAATTCTCTGTGGCCCGTTCAGTCCAGCTTCCACACCAGCATGCTAAGATTTCCCACACTAGAGACAATGCGTTAATTTTGAGTGTTGTGATGGAATGGAGCCCATCCAACTGGTACCGTGTGGGCTCCTGCACTTAATGATTCTTGGCCTTTGCCAGCCTGCCCTGGCTCTGAATCAGCAGATGAGAGATTAAGATCAAAGGTCCATCTAGCCCAGTGTACTGCGGAACACAGTTTAAGAAACACTGGTGTGCTGCGGTGAACAGAGTTCACAGAGTTCAAAATGGCCACCCTTAAAGGGGCAGGTAACCTTTTTTTTTTTTTGCTTTGCTTTGCTTAATAACTTCCCCCAACTTTTTTTTTTTTCCTCACCAAGAAAATCCTTGACATTCCTCATAAAAAAAAAAAAAAAGTTGTTTGGTGTTCCTTGGTCTTAAAAAGTTTAAGAAACACTGATCTAGACCACTATCCTGTCTTCCAACAGTGGCTAATGCCAGGTGCCCCAGAGGGAGGGAACAGAACAGGGAATCCTCACGTGATCCCTCTCTTGATGTTAGGTCTTTGATCTGTTACAAAACAGAGGTCTAGTCTTGCTCCCTGGAGGCCCAATGGGACCAGGCGTGATCCTTTACGTATGTTTTTAGAGGATGCACCACACATTGCAGAACTAAAACTAGCACCTTTGTTTCGAGTCCCAGTCAGTCTGCGATTTGCCCCGGCATTGTCTCACAGGACAGCGGCTGGACGTCGCTCTTCCTTGATGCCCCAGAGGATACTGATTGGATCCCAACATAGGTTTCCAGCTGTCGTAAAGTTGCTGGCCTGAGAGAATTATATCTTGGCTGAGTCAAGCTGGCATGAAATGGACAGTGGCCCTGAAACTCCTCAGAGCTTGGCTTTGCTTTGCCAGTAGCATGCTGCTCCCGCCCCCAGCCCAGTTTCTCCTCTCACAGTGGCTGGGCCCCAGGGGTGGGCCGGATTATAAGGGCCTTATCTTGCCCGCCCCTGTTCTAAACGACAATGGACAAGTAAGACGCTTCATTCACTTGTTTTATTGAAGAAGTTTTGGTGAGTTGAATTCCTCCCTGGACTCCTCCAGAGAAGGAACCCGAGCTCATAATCATTTCTGTTTTAATAGGGGTGGTCTCGTGTGTACTCCATGATGGTCATCAGTGCCAGCCACGTCTCCTCGGCAGTCGGGATGATCTGGTTGGCTGGGAGTAAGAACCCATAACGCCCTGTGTCCCGCAGCTCAAAAGTGAAAGAGTATTTAATGCCCTGGTTATAAGTCCAGTCAATGGTTCCACCACTGGCTTGATCTACAATCAGAAAACAAAAGAAAGCTAGTTCTGTGTCCGCATTAGTGCGGAGGGGAGGGGCAAGTCATAAGGTCACTTAACTGTCACTGCTGAAAAATACAACCAGCAAATTGTTGTGTGGGTCCATACAACAAGGGCGAGTGTTTGGCACTTAGTTTCTTATGCCAAATGAATACAACAAGAGTGAGGGGCCTACATCACACTCCTCCAACCACATTTTGCTTCTGGTCCTTAGATATGAGCACTGCAGGCTTTGTGAACAGCAGGATGTTTTCACTCTGAGCCTTGTGGTACAGGCACATCACTCAAACCACAGAGGCTCGAAAGAATGGGGAAAGTCACTCATGACACAGACATAGCCCGTAGGTTTCTCTAGCCCATCTCCCAGCTAGCATGTGGTCTGTAAAATGGAGCAATCAGACTTCACGCTTACCTAGGATGATGGCAGGTTTGATTTAGAGACTGGAACGATGGAGAGATTGGATGTGTCCATTTTTTAAAAGCTGCATTCTCACTCGACCACCAGCCACAGGCTCGATGGAGAAATCACTAAGGTCTAATCTCCAGTGGAAGGTTGAATTAAGATGCGCAATTCCAGCTACGTTAATTACGTAGCTGGAGTGGACATGTCTTAAATCGCTTTTCTGTGCTGTCCACACAGAACAAAGTCAACGGGAGCAAACAGTCCTGTCGGCTTCCCTTACTCCTCATGAGGAGCAGGAGTACTGGTGCTGATGGGGGCACCCTCTGAGTTTGATTTAGTGGGTCTTCACTAGACCCACTCAATCGAACCCCGGAAAATTGACCGCAGCACCGTCGATCTTCCACCTAGCAAAGAGGTGGCCAAAAGGAGCTAGCAGTGGCCTATTTATGCAGGAGGTCAGACTAGATGGCGTTCATCTATGAAGCTTATAGGGCTTTTTCGAACATACTCCAGTGGCCAAACGGGCGTTCTCGCACATGCTGCACCATTGGCTAGGTGCCTTATGAAGATCAGGTTCCCTGGCTTTGAAGTGTCCATTACTGTGCCCTCAGGAGACTAGCTGTTGGTTGTGTGGGGCTGCTGTATCACAGCACGGTGACTGGCTGAGTGACAGTGTAACCCACACACCTACTGGGCATAATGCACTTAGAGGCCAGGTCTACGCTAAAGGGGAAAAGACTTAATTACGTCGCTGGAGTCAGCATGTCTTACATTGTGTTTTCGCACCATCCATACAGCGGGAGGTCGACAGGAGCAAATGCTCCCATCGGCTTCCCTTGCTTCTCGTGCAGAGCAGGAGTATCAGCGCCGATGGGAGAGCCCTTTGAGTTCGATTTAGCGGGTTTTCACTAGACCCGCTTGTAGTAAGATGAAGGCCTAAACTATAAGCCCCTGCAGCACAGGCCTGGTCTGAGGCCTAGCTAACAACAGACAAAACATGGCTACCATAAAGCAAAGCTAAGCTGTGAGCAAGAGGCAGGCCCCAGCTCATGGAACTTGGCGCACACAGGGCTGAGAGCGCAAAACACTAATTGGTAATAGGTCGAGGTGCAGAACAATAATTGGTACTGCGTAAGTGGAAAGCACGATATCCCTCGCTCATTAAAGACCTCGGTACACACTTCTCACAGATACAGACTCCAGTTCAGGAAAGGGTCTAAAATGACAGCATGATGGATAGAGATGATCTAATCAAACCACGTGGTTCAGGGGGATGGGTGGTATCTAACCGTCAGCGGGTCGTAACCGGACTGCGTCAGAGGGTGGCAACCTAATACGTCAGCAGTGAGGTGTGACTTGTTGTACCTGTATATAAAGTGGGATCTTGGAGGGGACAGCCTTTGAATGACCTAGAGGGCAGTGGAAATTTCCCACTGATTGAGTCATTCCATTCTGGCAAGTACATGTGCGTCGTGGTTCAGTAGTCTACTGACAGTTAGTATTGTACTTCGCTCTACAATAAACCTGGCCAGGCGCTTTCGATTCTTATCTGGTTTATGGTCTTTGGGGGCCCTCTTGGGGTCTGCTGTGGAGTCCGAGTGCCCAAGTCGACATGGCCCACATCACCGAGCACACACACAAGCAGCCTTCTGGTTATCATCATCGACAGAGTCAGAGACCTGTGAGGACACCTCGGCAGGAAATCCCGACTGAATAACTACACCGCTAAATCAAACCCTGGCAGACTGACTGCGGCAGCATCAATCTTCCACATAGTGTAGACATGGCCACAGAGGCTCCGACTACACAGCCTCCCTCTTCCGCAAAAGCCTGTGCAAATGAAGCACAGATTAACATATTACCATGCTTCGTTTGTATAATTCATTAGGAGCTGTTTTTGTGCAAAACCCCCTCTTGCGCAAGAGTCGTTCTTCCTGAAAAAATGAGGAAGAACGGCTCTTGCGCAAGAGGGGGGGGTGTTGCGCAAAAAGGCGCTGTGTAGACGGCACCTTTTTGCGCAAAAACCTCGTGCTCAAAACCAGCTCCTAATGAATTATGCAAATGAAGCGTGGCAATATGCTAATCTACGCTTCATTTGCATAGGCTTTTGCGGAAGAGGGAAGCTGTGTAGATGTAGCCAGAGAGAAGAATGAGTCTGCTGTACAGCCAGCTGCCTTTCAGCTCAAGTTGTAGAGGCCTCCATCAGCCCGACACTGCATTAGCGTATTCACACAGCAGGGAATGAACCCCGCAAAGCCTGACCCAGAATGCACTGGGCTCAGTGCAACAACCAGGCTGAATTCACTCATTCTAAAGCCCTGCTCAAATATCCAAAGGGGGTGCTGTCCTTGGACTTCACAGCAGCTTGCGAGCCCAGTGGCTTGACATGACTGGCAGTGTCCCTAGCTACTGGACTGTGAGGACTGCCTGCCAGGGGACGGCTCTAGCGGTGGTGGTACTGTTCGGTGCAGTGCCTAAGCGCTCGGCCCCGATGGGTAAAGGAGCCACGGCAGCCCCAGGAACTTACAGATGGCTGTGATGATGCTGCCGTAGCGGTACGACGTGCCATACAGGGAGGAGAGGGCGGTGACTGCCGCTTTAGCGATCTGATCCTAGAGAAAGGGGTGGAAAAATGAGTTAGACCAGGGGTTTTCAAACTAATTGTCAGGCCCTGGGGTAACTTGCTGTAGGGTGACCCATGACTTGGAGGGAGGAGGGGGCTAAGGCAGCTTCCTTCCTGGCCCGGCACTGCGAACCACACCGTATCCCGAGAGTGGCCAGCCGCAGGCCTGGCTCCTAGGTTGGGGGGCAGGCTCTGAGCAGCCCCCCACCTGAGCACTGGCTCCATACTCCCATGGGCCAGTTCCCAGCTGTTTGTGGGCCTCGGCGTAGGATCCGGGCCTAGTGCCGGTTTGGATGATGTTTCAGGGGCTGTAGCCGCCAGATGCCTCCTGCCCCATCTGCTGCAGCTGCCCCGTTTTAAAGGCCTTTCAAATGCTTTTTGTTTCCCAGGAAGGCCTCTAACAGAGAAAAGGGACAGGCAGGGGTGGGCCCTGCCAGGCCTGTGAGGGTCTGTCATTGTGGCACCGCGTTTTGAAACTTTATACCCCCAGCAGCCCTTCACCCTGCGCTTATAGGGCCCTGGGGGTGTGAGGGAGACCCTACCAGTTCCTGGTGGTCGGCAGCCTGCGTCCTGGTGTAACCATAGGGATACAAGAGGAGCTGGGTGTAGCTGTGGATCGAGATGAAGGCTTTGATATTCCCATGGCTCTTCACAAAGTCCACGATGGCTTTCACCTCGCTCTCCGAGTGGGCGAAGGGGCCGCGGTAAGTCTCAGAACAGGGGTTGCTGCTGGATCCGGCCCCTGACGAGGGAAGAGGGGATTTTGGCTTCAGAAATAGGGTGGCTCGGAGCAGGGGGGGGGGTT